CCAGTATTAACCTGCTGGGTAACAAAAATAATACCCTAATCATAACAGCAACAACAAATCTAAAACACCTAAAAAACAGCTTAAGAAATGTACACAACCTTTATGAAGAAAACACAAAATTTACGGGCCGGCCCGGTGGCGCACTGCTACAGTGCGCCGCTTAGGAGTGCGGCGGCGCTCCCGCCGAGGGTTCGGATCCCACATACAGACCGGTTCCCGTTCGCTGGCTGAGCGAGGTGCGGGCGCAGCACCGAGGGTAGCAGAAAATTTACGGGCCGGCCCGGTGGCGCACTGCTACAGTGCGCCGCTTAGGAGTGCGGCGGCACTCCCGCCGAGGGTTCGGATCCCACATACAGACCGGTTCCCGTTCGCTGGCTGTGCGATGTGCGGGCGCAGCATCGAGGGTAGCAATCCCGTTGCCGGACACAAAAAAAGACAAAAAGGAAAAAAAAAGAAAAAGAAAACACAAAATTTAGGAAGGATTCAGTTACTCAATTCACCCTTTGAAAAGACTCATATTCCTGGATGGGAAAACTCAATATTAAGATGATGTCAACGATACCCAAATTTGCTTATATATTTCTTAACACAATTTCATTCAACAGCTCAAAATTCCAAAGGCAATCTTTGCAAGGGGAAAAGAGTCACCAACATAATTCTAAACTTCATCCACAGGAATAAGCATGCAAGAGAATAGCTAAGAAAGTGCTAGCCTTTCTTTGAAATCATCATTTCTAGGATTTAAAAATAAAAGCTAAGAGAACCTGGACACTCTATTTCCACACAGTTAAATCTTTCCCGACTCCAAGTCATTTAGAGATGAAGCTCTGTAATCTAATCTTCAATAATCTCACTTGTATAACCATTCACCAAATTGGTAATCTCTAAACAAAAACAATCAGTTCAAAAATGGCACTTTTGTCAGCTTTCCAAATAACACAATTTGATGAATTTGCTAATAGAGCTGTAACAGCATGGCTTCGTAAGATGCATCACCTAATTTCAATTAACCTAAGATGTAATCGACCACATTTACTGCAAACCAGACATTTTCCACTCAGGGGAGCTACAGCCACAGGGCATTCAGAATGGAATTTTAGGCTTAAGAACAGTTAGAGAGATACAACAAAAGTTGATAAGATTTTAAAAAGAATAACCGACTTCTAAAGGTAGTGGTCGAGGTAAAGAAAAAATGTATTGTTATTTCAGAAGTTGGGCCTCTCCCTCTTCTTAACCTGAAACAACTATATTCTTAATATGTCTTGGGTTTTTATTTTTATTAACTGATGAACACAAACTAATGATGGCTAAAGATCTTCTGAAGTCTACAGCACAATTCCTCATCTAAATGAAAACACCTAAAAGCAAGAAATGGGCAGAATAAGGGAAGTCTGAGGCAATAAAGAAGCAGACACAAGAGAAATTTATCTTAGGGCAAAGAAAGCAGATAGTACAAATGTAGGGAAGGATAGCAAGAAAATCGGAAAGGAAAAAATCTTTCTGATGGCTGATGAAGGGATAAAGATAAAGCCAACTACACTACACCTGATGGCCCTATACCTTGCTGGCTGAGAATAAAACAAATTTTTTTCTAGCTGCTCCAACTCCAGGTGAAAGCTCCATACCTGAGTTTTCAAATTAGCA